CCTTCTTCCGGCTTCCGATTAACCTTCGTCCTCGTCATACCTACGGCAAAGTCTTTCCCCACGTTTAATTATACTTGGTATATGACGTTACTCATTTAGGTTTTCACTATTAAGAAAAAGTATCTACCGAAATATTTCGTGTTGTCAAAACACATTGTGAAAGTTAAATTATTATCAAAAAATCACTATAACATGTTCACTTAGTGATCAGAGAACATCTGAAGAAAATGTAACAAATGTGGAAGATTGTTTCCGGTTAATCGTATAAATACATCGTTAAGTGTGTCGGCTCGGGAGAACTGCCAAGAAAACTCGTAGGTATTTATCAGGCGGTGGCGGTGGCGATGCGTAAATAAATACCAAACAAAAGCTGACAAGCTGCCAGGCGACGTCAACAAGTGACATAAGATCGATATTTATCAAAACACACAAACACTATTGATATCCGTACAATTTCTTGTGCGTTTACATTTTGGCAAAGACGTCTAGTAAATTCTGTGAGTACTATGCCATCCCGACAATTTATTTCTATAGTTAATTATTTGCGATTGGCATTAAAGTATTTAAACAAACAAAACGAGATGAGTACAATTCTCGCTGATGTAGAGACGAATGACCCTGAATGAGTTAGCGAATTATTTTGATATCGTGACTCATTTATACTTGCCGGGTCGCGAAATAGACATCGTGCACATACGAATGCAAATAATCACGCTTGTTTACATACCGACGTAGTCAGAATTAACAAAATGTTAAATAAGACATAGATAAAATAAGGCAAAAGTGTTCATGATTATTTTTAACAACAAAAAATTGTGCGAAATGTTACTAGTATTATAAAAAGGGGTCACATGTCAGCTAGTTTTTAATGTTAGATTACAATCTCATTTTGTACATATATGATATAAAAAGATAAGTTAACAAGGGACTATAATTACTCATTAATATAATTTAAGTCTTTATGTCGTACATGTTGTTTAAACTGTATTTTTTTTAAATGATGGGTAAATTCTGACACATTTTCGCTCATTATTCTCTTGAAGGCATTAATAATGGGATACAAACTTCCCGATGTGTTAGTGATATACGCATAACCTTGCACATATTCATCGCAATACGCAAGACGCATATTTACCATAGAAATATTAATAGATGTGTCACCATTCATTTATTTTACAAGCAACAATTTTTTCAACAATTAAAAAATGTTAAAAAAAATTAGAAAAATCATGTATTACCGTTTTACTTAATTACACAAAACGTATTTAATATTACTTTGGAAACTCGGTATAGTACATTACTATTGACTAGCTCTAGTTTATAATTTAAAATAACCGTACACTGGCTATTAAAACTAATGTATCGAGCCCAAGTCCCTTGGGTGTAGTGAGACGAGAGAGTGAATACATAAACAAGGGGGGTGGCAAGCCTCGATTATGTGCACACCCACCCTACCACTTAGTCTTAATGTATGGTCAGGGCCACGTCTGCACTTTGTTTTTAACCATACTCATCGACATGACAATCTTACTAATCTTCTTTCTAATATTATGAATGCCAGAGTTTAGATGGATGGATGGATCTTAGAGTTTGTAGCCTAAACTGCTCAACGGATCTCAATGCAATTTGGCATGGATGTAGAGTCTCTGTTGGCATGGATATGTCTGGAAGAACACATAGGCTACTTGTTTTTGTTTTTTTTTTTTTTAAATTCTACGCGAACGAAGTTGCGGGCGAAAGCTATTATTAAAATAAACAATCTGTCCCGATTTTTTGAAAATTTTCATCTTGTCTTTACCCTTCTTTGTAAGTCACAAGGTGAGGTAGTTTTTAGTATATTTGATATTTTGTAGCATTATACGCGCCTACGTGTCAACTTCGAAGAGATAGGGACAAAGAAGGAGAAAAGGTACATCTACTTACCTTATAACAGCTACCCTGCTTGATGCGAATGACTATGCGGGGATGCGTTCATGTCTCCCACTTTTTAATTTCCACCACCTGGAAATAAGAAAAATAGTTAAATAAAAGCTTAACGAATATGAGTCCCAAGAATCCCAAGAAGTTCTGAGGTTAAATTTAGTAACCAATTGAGAACCTCTTAAACTCCTGAAAAACACTTTTTTTTACAAAAATCAGATTAAACGCTTCTTTAATGCTTGTAAATTAAATTAAATACAAAACTCTATAATATTCACTTTTGTAGCAAGCTTTAAAATGTATTTCGATCAGCTAAGTGCATAGTCGAACGGATAACGTTTTTCTAAGCTCTGATATACGAGTAGCACCTGCCTTCAAGCTATTTATAAAGATCCTGCCGCGGGCAAGCAGGTAACTTAAGTTATCTATGTTGTATTACATTGTCGCACCTTACATACGATCTAAGTATAGACTACAGCGACTTAAAAACTTCACTTGTAATGTAAAGTATATTACCAATAAATGATTCAACAATAGAATCGATTTAATATCGAATACGAATCGATTGATATAAATTTGATTAAATCGCATAATTGCTATTAATATAGCTATCCCATCTATTCTGCGAATAAACTTCTTACATCTGTCATCATCAACTTGCACTTATCCCTTATGGAAGGTCGTCAAAGTATGTGCTGCTCTTCCTTATATCTCTATCAGCCGTCATATCTGAAACCACTTCTTTCTTAAGCATATCCACTTTTACACAATCCATCCATACTTTCTTCGGTCTTCCTCTTCCTTTGTAGCCATCCACATTCATTCTTAACACTTTCTGATGTCTCCATCGTCTCGTCGCATAACATATGCATCTGTATTGCCCCCTTTTATCTCCAAATTGTAGTCAACTTTTAAAAAAGTTCAATGTCAAGGTTCGTCACAGTCCATTAAAAATCCTTCAATGAATAAGTCCCTTTTTTCATAGACCTGGCGTGTATGGACATTGGCCTACATTCGCATCCGGCGCAAACGATTCACATCACAATTGACTTGTAAAACGATACTGTTGTATAAAAAAAACGCATAATAGTACAATTTGCATAACACATTCTGTTGGGTTTACATCTGTTACGTAACTGTCTGCCGTTATTTTTTATTTAAAACTACTAAAGCCGTATATACAGTAATAAGTTTCTATTTAAATATATCGCTAACTTTTTTATCTTTACCTATGTTATGATTGATATTAACAATTCATTGTCTCTTATTCAGACCGAGATATTTGTCTCAATGGTCGAGACAATGAAATTTTTTCATCCATAAACGATAAAACAATCATTGTTTCCGACCGTACGAGATTTGATATGGCGCTTGACGTAAATACATTTGAACAAACTAGTTTTTTTAGCTTAACGTTTTATAAAAATAAGTAATAAATTACATTTTTTTTACATTGGTTATATAATAAAAATTTTCCATGAATCTAAGCTAAGAATAGTCATCACTCTGCCATTAAAAGTAAAATAATAACAAATATATGTAAGTTCTCTATTAAAAAAAAATTAAAAACTAAGACAACATAGAATCAGTAAGATTTGCATTTGCATCATCAAATTGAATTAAGGACACACTAATTCGAACATAAATCGATCACGAGTGCGACAACATTCGACCATTATGTAGAAAGCAAGATAAAGCCAATTTTTCATCGGGCCGAACGAGTGGAGCGTTTGTGTACATGTGTGCACTATTTACGTACAGAGCTCACAGCTGTGCCGGGTCAATGAACTCGCCGCGCGCGAAACAAGGTGAATCGTAAC